CATTTCACCATGTAGGATCCAGCTGTCTTAACCTCCATGCCACTTGCTAGCCCCAAACTCCAAATAGTTCTGTCCTTAACTGTCACACCCGTACTGAAGTGCTGCGTCTCTGTGCAAGTCCTTTTGCTGTAAAAGCACCTCCCAGCTGCCTGAGCTGTGCGGCTGGCGTGTGTGCTGGCCCTGGTGCAGGTGGCAGCTCCTGACTGGATGAGGCTGCCTGACAGAGCTTCAAGACCAAACAGACACACATGCTCAGACAAGCAGAAGGACAGGACTCCACCTGCTGACGTGCTCCGAGACCTGGAGAAGGAAGGGACGTCACAGCCTCCGCCATGTCTGTTCCTTCTTCCGTCCCTGGGCATCTGTGTTGCTTCTCACTTTTCCCTCAAGTTAACCAAAGGGAGGAGCTACAAGTTTCTAGAGGGAGGAAACTCCCTTTTTGATCAAGTTATATTTTTGCAAATACTCTGACACAATGACATTATGGAGAATTTTTTTTTTTTATTTTTATGGTTTGGGGCTGGCAGGTGGCATGGTAGTTAAGGCAGCTAGATTCCCATGTGGCTGACTGAGGTTCGAGTCCTGGACCTGGTGGCTTGATACCCATTCTAGGCAAATGTGCGTGTGTGCCCCAAATCCTGATAGAATGGAAGAGAAGGGATTGTGGTGTGGCCATCCTCCCTGGAAAGTGATTTCTCGCCTTCCCTCTCTCTAACTACTCTCTGGCAAATGCACGTGTCCTATGGCAAACACCTAAAAAAATAAAGTTTCATGGTTTGCCAGTTTCTAGGACTTTGGTGCTTCCCATAGAAGACAAAGGGTGGCACCCCTGGTGAGGTTCTTAAATTTTACACATCAGCCTCCAGTAAGATAAGCTTCCTGGTTTCATATTGCAACATAAACCAAACCGCAGAGGTTATGACTTCTCTGTGTTCTCTCAAGAACCACCCGGCAGTGCAGCAAGCCCTGCCCACTTCCTGCTCACGTGCATGGTCTGCAACGACTATTTACTTCAGGATGTGAGTTAAAAGCAAAGCTTGAACAATAGGGAAGCCACTCCCTGAGCCAGTTGCTCCAGCCCTGCTAACCTATGGAGACTTGTCCTTGCTTCAAAGCAAACTCGATGTATGCTTATGTAACAAATCCCAGCCAGTTTCACAAATCCCAGTCCTGGAAATTGCATATGGATCAACACTACATTTATACATGACGATCCATTGGCTTTGCTTGGTCTCTCTCTCCAGCTCAGCCAGTTACTCTGTGTGTCAAGTGGGGCAAGTCATTCAAGCGTTTTTCAGTTTCTTCACCTGCAACCTGGGAATCAATGCACACATCTCAGGATGTTGGCTGGATTTACAGAGCTATTGCATATAGTGGTAGGTAATATCATGTATCTTTGGGTTCCTTCTATGGGCCAGCCTGCAGTGGGCATTACCAGGTGAGGGAATGACCCACAGTGGCCTTCCTGGAAGGCACACTGCATTTGCACACAGGAAGGCTTTGTAAGGGCTGGTGAGTGGGGCAAGCATTGGCCTAACTCCAACTCTTCCCGTTGCCTATTTTTCTCTCCCCTCCATCATTTAGTCTTTCTTCCTTCCTTCCTCCCTTTCTTTTCCTTTCATTTCTTTCTTCTTTCTCTTTCTTTCTTCCTTCCTTCCTTCCTTCCTTCCTTCCTTCCTTCCTTCCTTCCTTCCTTCCTTCCTTCCTTCCTTCCTTCCTTCCTTCCTTCCTTCCTTCCTTCCTTCCTTCCTTCCTTCCTTCCTTCCTTCCTTCCTTCCTTCTTTCCCCTTCCCTTCCCTTCTCTTTTCTTTCTTTTCCTTTTCTTTCTCTTTCTTTCTTTCTTTCTTTCTTTCTTCTTTCTTTCTCTCTCTCTCTTTCTCCTTCCTTCCTTCCTTCCTTCCTTTCTTTTTAGATATTTTTTTTAGAGGTTTTTGCTATAGGGCGCGCGTGCTCGCCAGCCAGACAGAGAAAGACAGAGAGACAGAAAGCGAGAAATCTCCCCCCAGGGGGGATGGCCACGCCGCAATCCCTTCTCCTCCATTCTCCTCTCGGGATCTTGGGCAAGCACGCACATGCGCCCGGTGTGAGTTTTAAGCCACCGTGTCCAGGACGTGAACCATGGTCGACTATATGGGAGTCTAGCGACATAGCCATTAAGCTAACTGCTGGTCCCCTTTTTAGAGATTTTTGATTTAGGGCATGTGCACTTGCCAGAGAGACAGAGAAACAGAAAGAGAGAAATCATCCTCCCCTGGGCGGGGTGGTGGTGGTCACGCCGCAATCCCTTTTCCTCCATTCTCCTCTCAGGATCTTGGGCACTCACACACACATGCCTGGTGTGAGGGTTTTTGTTTTTGTTGCTGTTTGTTTGGTTTTTTTGAGAGGTTTTTGGTATAGGGTGCATGAGCTCATGAGAGTCAAAGACAGGGAAATAGAAAGTGAGGAATCACCCCCCGGGGGGATGGTCACACTGCAATCCCTTCTCCTCCATTCTCCTCTTGGGATCTTGGGCACGCACACACACATGCCCAGCGAGTTTTCAGCTCTGGGTCTGGGATTCAAAGTGCAGTGGGCTACATGGGAGTCCAGTGACTTCACCATTATGTCATCTGCCGGTCGCCCATTATACTCCTTCTAAGAATAATGCCAGGGTATGAAACCCTGTGAGCTCCCTCCTGAGACTTCTGTGGGGTGGTCTGGCTGAGGACCTGGCTTCCCAGGGGCACCCTGCACTCATCCAGCTCTCTGTCACTCCCTCCCCAAGTGAGGTGACAGCAGGCTGCAGGTACAGGGCTGGTGCCACTGGGCAGTGACTCAGGCAGACCCTGCCTGTGGTAAGTTGCTGAGCAAGTTCATGTCACCACAGTAACCACTTCACTCTTTCAGGGTGGCATCTTCTTCATCTGTTCTCTTTCTTTATTAACCTTTTTTTGTCCTCCCACGTGATTATTGTTTTACCCATCCAATAAATCTTTTATTTATTTTTTCAGAAATTGTCAGTGAGTATGTGAGCTCACCAGAGAGAGACAGAGAGGGAGAAGGTGAAAGCTTCCCCCATGGGGCACAGTCACACTGCAATCCCTTCTCCATTTTTCCATCCTGTCAGAATTTGGGGCATATGTGCTCATGTACCTGGAGTGTTTTTTAAGCCAGTGGGCTGGGATTTGAACCATGACCAGCCATATGCAGTCTGGCTCCCTCGACCATTAGGCTACAGGGCAGCTGGATATCTGTTTGAGGGAGCCTACAGCACAAGTCTGTTTGCCAAGATGTGTCCTGCTGGCTGCACCAGGGCCTCATCTGCACCAGGCAGCCCTCAGAGGGCTCTGGCTGTTCCTGGCTGGGCACTCTCGGCAGGTGCTCATGACAACGCTGGGACCCAGGGCCTTCCCACCTCCTCTGGATAAAGGCCCACGTGAATCAGGCCTTTTTGTGTTCTTCCTGTTTAGAAACTTGAAACAGGAAAGAAAAAAAAAGCCTGGGGTGGTAGTGCGGGGAGGTGTCCAGACATTGTCTTATTCTCTCAGAACTCTGTCAGGTACGGAACAGACAGAGAGGGTACCAGCTCCTTTGCTTTCAGTTTCAGCTGCTCACCGTGCTTAGTTCTGGAAGTTTCTGAACTGTGTACCATCTGCCCATGCCAAGAGCAGACTGGGCAATTCAGACTTCTGCCCTAAAATGTAAAATCTGCCCAGAAATGTCCACTGACTCCCAGGATTAAAAAAAAAAAATCCTCTGCTCTTTGTTGCTTTGTTTCATTCTCTCTGTTTGTGGATTATAAATCACTCTTTCTGTGAAAGAAAGAAAACCAGAACTATCCCCTGCTGCAGCTGGCTGAGGCAGAGCCAGGAGAGGGAGCTCGGGGTTGTTGTTCATTATGAATTCGGTATTCAAACATACCTTCTTTTACCGTGCTTTGCAGATATTATGTTGTAAAAATGGAAAGTTCATGGCAACCCCGTGTTGAGCAAGTCTGCTGGTGCCGTTTTCCCAACAGATGTGCTCCCTTTGCGTCTCTGGGTCACATTTTGATAATGCTTGTAGCATTTCACTTTTTAACTATTATTACATCTGTGATGGTGATTAGCGATGGTCGATATTACTGTGGTCATTGTTTTAGGGCCATGAACCACACCCATGTAAGTGCGAACTTAACTGCTAAGCGTGTGTATTCTGACTGCCCCACCGACTGGCCGTTCCTTGTCTTGCTCCCTCTTCAGATCTATTTCCTGAGAAATAACACTACTGAAATTAGGCCAATTAAAAACCCTGCAATGAGGGATCGCAGGTGGCGTGGTGGTTGGGTTGCTGGACTCCCACATGGCTGACTGTGGTTTGAGTCCTAGACCTGGTGGCTTGCATTCTCTCTTTGCCTCTCTCTCTCTCTCTCTCTCTGTTCAAACTAAAAAATAATAATAATGAGTAAAATAGAATAAATAATTCTTTCAAAAAACAAACAAACAAACCTGCAATTACCTCTACCTGGTCCAAGTGAGAGGAAGAGTTGCAGTCCGCTCATTTTTTTTTTAAAACTACCAGAGAAGGTATGCCTCAGCCAGAGAGACAGAGACAGAAAGGGCCAGGGAGAAAGCTGACGAGGCTGAGTCATGCCCAATCTCTTCTCCATTTCTCTATCCTGTCAGGATCCTTTCTTTTTTTTTTTTTTAGTGACTTAATCAAGCATGTTATCATCAATAATATTCCATTTCTACTTTCATACAGTGTATACATATATATATGTTTTTTATCCTATCTTTGACCCTCTGCCCTTTCCCCCTCTCCCATTACCCTATCTCTGCTATATACAGTTGTCTTCCAGGGGAGTTATTGAAAATGTGATACATGCAAGTAAAGGGAGAAGGGCCACAAGTTTAAAGTTTTCAACAATAGGGAACATAGATTCCATTCAAGGTTGGATCAAGGGTGGGTCTCCTGCGGATCC